AAGAAAAAGATGGGAACAATGAGTGAACAGATGAGAAATTTCAGCAGAGAATGTAAACTACAAAAAAGAACCAAATGCGGGCTGGCCCGAGTGGCCTCGTTGTTTAAGTTCAGTGTGCTGCACTTCAGCGGCCCAGGTTCAGTTCCCAGCCAAGGACCTGCACCACTCGTCTGTCAGTGGCCATGCTGTGGCAGCAGCTCACATACAAAAAGAGGAACATGTGTGAAAACGTAGCAAATGATTTGCTATTAAGTTGCATTATACAATAAAATAATTTAAATCTATGTTTCCAAACATGACCATCCTGTATAGCCACATCACTTAGAGCTCAGGGCAAATCTTCCTCAGCAAAAAACAAAAACAAAACAAAAAAAGCAAATTCTAAAACTGAAAAGCACAATATCTAAATGAAAAAAATTTATTGGATGATTACCACAGAAGATTAGAAACTACAAACAAAAAAGAGTAAAGTGATCTTGAAGGCAGATCAATAAAGATTATCCAAACTGAAAAAAGAGGAGAAGATTTTTTAAAAATCACAGACTCAATGCAGATATGTGTTTTTAACAAGACCCTCCACCAGCAAAAAGACTATGACTCAGTGAAGGCTCAGATGATGGTTACCATTTTTTTTTTAGCAATAAAGTACTTTTTAAATTAAGGTATGTACATTTTTTTTTAGACATAATGCTATTGCACACTTAATAGACTATAATATAGTGTAAACATAACTTTTATATGCACTGGGAAACCAACAAATTCATGTGATGCGCATTATTACAGTGGCCTGAAACTGGACCCACAAAATCCTGGAGGTACACCTCTAAAGGACCGGGATAATACTATCAACCAACTCCATCTGATATTGATAGATGCCCACACTCAACAACTCCAGATACACATTCTTTTCAAGTATATGAGGAATGTTTAACAAGATAAATCACATACTTAGCCACAAAATAAGTCCCAATAAGTTTCAAACAATTGAAATCTTTCAGAGTGTGTTCTCTAATCATAAAGGAATTATCAGCAATCAATGACAACAGGCTATCAAAAAAAAAAACAACTCCAAAGAGTTAAAAATTGAACAACACATTTCTAACAAAACAAAACAAAACAAAACCAAGGATTAAAGAAGAATTCACAGGAAAATGAGAAAATATTCTAAACCGAATGAAAATTAAAATGTGCCAGAACTTATGGGTTATACCTAAAATCAGGCTCAGAGGGAAATTCACAGCCTTAAACAAATGGGTTGGAAAAGAAGAAAGGTTTAAAATTGATGATCTAAACTCAAAGTAAGTAGAAGGAAAGAAAATAATAAAGATTAGAGAAGAAGAATGGGGGGAAATCAGCAAACAAAAGAGAAAAGTCAACAAAGTGAAACGCTGTTTCTGTGAAAAGATGAATGTAACTGATTAACCCCTAGCAAACCTGATCAAGGGCAACAAAAGAAAACACAACTTGAAAATATCAGGAATGAAACAAGGGCTTTCACTATAGGTCCTACGGACACTGAAATAACACCATAATAATTTTATGCCAATAAATTCAACAACTTACATGAAATGATAGATTCCTTGAAAGATGCAAACCACCACAACGGACATACTTGACTCTTCCAGTACAGAGGAGGAAGGAACCCTTCCCAGCTTACTTTACAATGCCACATACCCCTGATATCAAAACCTAACAAGAAAACTAGAGACAATTTCCCTCAGGAGCACAGACACAAAAATTCACAACATAACACTAACGAATTAAACCCAGCAACATATAAAAATAATATATCATGACAAAAGAAATGTGTAAAACAACACATCATGACTCTCAGAAATTCAAGCTAATTGAACATCAAAAAACACAACAAAATTCACCTCATTAATGGGGGGGAACTACATGATCTCCTCAATAGATGGAGAAAAAGCATCTGACAGAATTTAACATCCAATGATGAAGATAATTCTCAGCAAATTAGGAAATGAACACCCTCAGCCTGATAAGGGGGCCTCTACAAAAATCCTACAACTAATATAATAATATTTTATAGATAAAACAATGAATGCTTCCCCCATAAGATTGGGAACAAGGCAAGGATATCTGCTTTTACCATGTATATTCAACATTATTCATACCAGATTTCTCAGCCACCGCAATAAGACAAATGAAAGAAATAAAATGCATTAAAAACTAGAAAGAAAGAAAGAAAAAAGTTTACCCAAAAATAATGAACAAACTTTTAACATCTTTTTGAGGTATCATTCACATACCATAAAATTCACCCATTTCAAGTGTACGATTGAACTATTTTAGTATATTCACAGAGTTTTGCATCTATCACCACAATCTAAGTTTAGAACATCTTCATCATTCCTAAAAGAAACCCCATACTCACTAGCAGTCACTCTCTCCTAGAAAATGAGAATTTAAAACACAATTTATAAGAACATCAAAGACCTAACATACTTAAGAATAAATAAAATGAAAGACCTCTACATTGAAAATTATGATAACTGCTGAGACAAAAAATAGACCTGAATAAATGGAGAATGTACTGTGTTTATGGACAGGAAGATTCAAATGTCAATTTTCCCCAAATTTATCTACAGAGTCAAAGCAATTGCAATGAAAAACTCCCAGGGGCTTTCTAGTAGAAATTGAAAATCAATTGATTTTTTCCCCCAAAGGTGCCAAGGTAAATCAATTGGGAAAGATAAGTCTTTCAACAGACCCTTACCTCACACCATACACAAAAACTAATTCAAGACGAAAATGGGCAGGAGACGTGAACAGACATTTCTCCAAAGAAGATATACGGATGGCCAACAGGCACATGAAAAGATGTTCATCATCACTGTGCATCAGGGAAATGCAAATCAAAACTACACTAAGATATCACCTTACACCCATTAGAATGGCAAAAATAACCAAAACAAAAAGTAACAAATGTTGGAGAGGTTGTGCAGAAAAGGGAACCCTCATGCACTGCTGGTGGGAATGCAAACTGGTGTAGCCACTATGGAAAACAGTATGGAGACTTCTCAAAAAATTAAAAATAGAAATACCATATGACCCAGCCATCCCACTACTGGGTATCTACCCAAAAAACTTGAAACAAGCAATTCCAAAAGTCCCATGCACCCCTATGTTCATTGCAGCATTATTTACAATAGCCAAGACATGGAACCAACTTAAGTGCCCATCAAGTGATGACTGGATAAAGAAGATATGGTGTATATATACAGTGGGATACTACTCAGCCATAAAAAAGGATAAAATCGTCCCATTCACAACAACATGGATGGACCTTGAGGGTATTATGTTAAGTGAAATAAGCCAGATAGAGAAAGACAATCTCTGTATGACTCCACTCATATGTGGAAGTTAAACATGTAGACAAAGAGAACAGATTAGCAGTTACCAGGGGAAAGAAGGGGTGGGTGGGTGCATGCAAAAGGTGAAGTGGTATGCCTACAACATGACTAACAGTAATGTACAACTGAAATTTCACAAGGTTGTAAACTATCATAATTTCAATAAAAATTTTTTAAAAAGAGAGAGAGAAAGAAAAATTAAGTCAAGATGGATCACAGACCTAAATATACAAGGCCAAATGGTAATTCTTAAAAAAAAAAAAAAAAGAAGAAGAAGAGAATATCTCTGTAACCTTCAGGTAAGCATAGATTCCCTGGAGAGAACACACAATGTAACAACCTCTTTCGAAATTCTATAGACTGAACTTCAACAAAATTATAAAATTCTGCTCAATAAAGGACACTACTAAGAAAGTGAAACGGCAAGCCTCAGACTGGGTGAAAATACTCCCAATATAGACTCAAACCTAGAATATATTTAAAAACTCTTACAAATCAATAACAAAAAGACAAATAACCCCCCAAATAGGAAAAAGACTTCAACACTTTACTAGAGTGTATAATATTATATCATATGAGTACAATTATGGACATAAGCACATGAAAGGGTGCTCAACTCATTAGTTATCAGGAAATGAAAAGTAAAACTACTCTGAGAAGGCATGACACACCCACTGAAACAGCAGAAATCAAAAAGACTGACCATACCAAGTGCTGACAAGGATGGGGAGCAACCAGAACTCGCACACACTCCTGATGGGACAGTGAGATGATACGACCACCACTGATGGAGAGTGAGATGGTATGAAGCCCGCTGATGGAGAGTGAGATGGTATGACCACCACCGATGGGAAAGTGAGATGGTATGACCACCACTGATGGGAGAGTGACATGGTATGACCACCACTGATGGGAGAGTGAGATGGGACAACCACTTTGGAAAACTATTTGGTGGTTTCTTGTGCAGCTAAACCTATATCTACCCTTCGATCCCACAATTTCACTCCTAGGTATTTATCTAGGAGAAATGTAAACGTGTCTATAAAAAAGACGTGACGAAAAATGTTCACAGCAGCTTTATTCATAATAGCAGAGCCTAGACAGCCCAAGCATCTAACAAGAGGATGAATAAATGAATTATGAAATATCCATTTCATAAAATATTCCTCAGCAATAAAAATGAGAAGCTGTTAATACACACAACGATACAGGGCAATCTCAAAAACATGCTGAGTCAAAGAAGCGGGATGAAGGAGAGACCGTCTCCTGGGCTGTACAACTGAATTTCTTTGGGCAGGAAACAAATCTACTGTGACACAAATCAGAGACTGACTTTAGGGGGCTGGGGACCGACTGGAAGAGGGCATGAGGCAACATTCTAGGGTGACAGGCATTTATATGAGTTTGTCAAAACTCACTGAATTGTACACCTACGATTGTATTGAGATACAACGAAATACACAAAACATTTCACAAAAAATAAATGCAACGGAAACTTCCTGGGGAAAAAAGTCAGAAGGATCTGCTGAGACTCGAAGGGTTGATAACTAGTTAAGAATATTCTGTTGGTGTATGTAGATAACCCACATAAGTCAATCAAGATCAATAAAGGACGAAACAGAATACCTGTTAACTCTCCTCGGGCATTTCTCTGGTTTGATATCCAATTCATAATGATAGATGTCAATTTTTGGAATGTCCATTTCAAAGAAGTTGGCCTGTAATTTGATTGTTCTCCCGGAGGTCCCGAAGTCGGGTCTAGGCGGAGGCTTGAAGGCATATCCTTGGATGGGCGGTGGTGGCGGTGCAGGAGGCGCGAGCACTGCGAATGCAAAGAGAACACCTGTTACCCAGGGAGATAAATGGCTTTCCCAGAGTGCGCCTGTGAGCAGCCTCGCTCAGGGTGGAGTCTGGGCGGCGGGCTGGAAGCACCTCCTGTGCACGACCTGCTGTCGCCACCTCCCTTGGACCCTGCGCCATCACATGCCCCCTCTGGTACTTCCATTCTCGCCCTGCCCACTGCTCTTCCTCCTCCCTTATGTTCACACGTTCCCGTGGACAACCTGAAGCCCAGACCCCATCCCCATCCAGGTCCACCTCATCTCAGAGACCTTCTAACCGCCAGGCGCCGTGCACCCCTCCTCTGCCACTCGGTGGCATGTGACACTGCACTATGTACTCCTTTTTTCAACTGTTCCCTCTCTGGTCCTCTCCTTGCTCTGCCCAGATCCTTGAAAAGTTGGATTTTCTCTACCTGGCCCTCTTCATTTCTTACTGTAGGCTCACAGACAGTTCAAACTCTGCATCCATAGTCAAGCTGCTTTTCCCCAAGCTCCTGTCTCCATCAATGAGGCCGTGTCTACCCACTATCAAGACGCTTCCCACACATTCTTCATGGCCAACTGCACAACGAGTCTCAGTATTTTACTTGGTGATCTCTCCATTCACCCTGGAGGCAGGGTCTCAGTTTCCAGGCACCCCTTACCCATTTTCCACACCTCAGGCCAGACGTCTGATCTCACCCTGTCCGAATGCCTCAGTGGCTCCCCAGCACAGGGCTCTGACACTCAGGTACTCGCAAGTCTCCACAACCTGGCCTCAGCCTGATCTTCTGTCGCTCTGAGACCTCCCCCAAGAGCCAGCCTTCGCTCTTCAGAGCCCCTGCACACGTCGGCTCCTGCCCAGGAACCCTTCTGGATTCATCGAGTCCCTGACTCCTCCTGTCTCCAGCTCGCTTGAGTCACATTCCCAGAATGAACGTGCCACACAGTGCCGTAACCACATTTGGCTACCTGTCTCCCCAGTTGGACCGTGAGCAGCTTGAGGACTGAGATGTCCAACTGCCCTAGCATCTGAGAGAGCCCCTGATGCACAATAAGAGCCCAGAAACATCTGCTCAAACCCCCTCCACTTCTATTTGAGAAAGTTGAAGTTCAGACAGGTAGAGGAAGGTTCCGAAAGGCACTCAGAAAGTATCCCTTACAGTGGCCGCCAAAGTCACAAAGGGACATCAACGCTCACGCAGGCACCTTGCCACACCTCACCTTGAGTACCACTTCCTGCATGTAAACCCCTCTTCCAGGGGCTTCTGAAAGCTGTATGTGGGTCACCACAGGCACTCAACTATCTATACAATCTCTCTGGTCCCTGGAAACCCTTTGCTGCAATAGACCAATATCGCATTTCCACAAAGGAGGTGTCTTAACATTAAGTCAATTCTTTTTTTTCTTTGCTGAGGAAGAGTCACCCGGAGTTAACATCTGCTGCCAATCTTCCTCTTTTTTTGCTTGAGTACAATCAGCCCTGAGCTAACATCTGTGCCAGTCTTCTACATACCATTTCGTATGTGGGTCACTGCCACAGCATAGCCACTGACGAGTGGTGTAGGTCTGGGCTGGGAACTGAATGAACCCAGGCCACTGAAGCAGAGCGTGCCAAACTTAACCACTAAGCCACGGGGCTAGCCCCAACACTAAGCCACTTCTTTACTTAAAATGCTTTCTAATAACTCATTGGCTACCATAATTGCCATGTACATTTCTGTTCTCTTTCTTTGCATATGAGAGGTTGAAAAGATGGGGCACTGTGTATTACCAGCAAAGGAGACAAGGACAAAGGGATAGGCCTCATGTAATGAAAGGGGCCCAAACTGCCAAGGCTTCATCCTTCCTTTATTACTATTTAAACCTTCATTTATAAGGAGTGCTTTTTCACAGACAGTAGAAGGGAACTTCACCCCAGCTCAGATTTTCAGTAATTCCATTAGTAAGATTCAAATGGTGGCTTCAGGAAAAACCCAATTAAATATTTTTCCTATAACGGAATACTTTTAATTTTAACTCAAATGTCTTTGTTTAAAAAAAAAATCCTCATTTAAAAAAAATTCCATGTACTTCAAATCCCATTGACATTCACTGGAAACAAAAAGTACTCTACTAAAAATAATATAAGCTGTTCTTACTGTGTTTCTGACCTAGAAAAACTCAAGAGAGTCCCTTAATTATTTGCGGTTTGTTTATTTTTTAAAATTTTGTTTTCTTTCTATGACAAAACGAATACGCTTTAAAGGTTATTAATCTCACTGAGTTATACCATCTGGAGACTTTGAAGTCTCTCTCCACTATGCTACTATGATTTCATAGATGACACATTTACAGACTTTCACACACTCCACGCCTTCAACAAGCACGCTCGTGTGCCCCTTACGTGCTGGGCAGTGTGCCAGGGACCAAGGATACAAAGATAAACAGTGTTCTCAAGGAGCTCACATGTCACTTCCCAAGAGAATGTCCAGGCACAAGTCATCAAATGGATTAGGTGTGTTCAATTCTCACAAGCTCAGCAGGTCACATGTGATCCCTCGCACTACGGAACCTGACCACGGCCAGGAGTGGACACCGCTGTCCGGCTCAGCTCAGCCCACTCCCTGAGGATGGGTGCAGCTCTACATGCTCAGCCCCGAGTGCCCTCTAACACACGGACCCTGTTCTCAGGTGGACCCCCATCCAGCAAGCGGAATCTTGCAAATGTAGGGACAAAGTTAAACCACAAGGAGTGACATTTGTGTCCAAGGAAATGTCCAGTCGTAGAGCCACAGACATCTGGCCCCCACGGACAATTAGAGGAGTGAGGGCACTGGCTGCACTGAAGGGGTCCCCAGTTTACAAAGTGCTTTCACGTTTCTTAATTACGCCTCACAGCTAAGAACAAAGGTGCCGCCTTTGAAAAGTGAAGCCGTCCAAGACCCAGATGGACAGAGGTGCCCCACTCGACAGCCAGCCATCAATCCCCAGCTGGACGCTGATGGTTTCACCTCTGATCTGCCCAACTGGCACAGATTAGGCCTAGGGCTCATTTCTCAGGTTGAGCCTATTTTTCCTATCTCCTTAATACCTATTGCTTCTACAAAAATTTGCCATGGGAAACAAGGAAAATGGTCCACCAGTTTGCGTTACTAACCCGTATTAATAAAAGCAATGGAAAAAGTGCAATGGTAATACATTCATAAAATATATCATCTCATAAGATTTTGTTTCTAGCTTTTAATAATGAAAATACTAAGAGTTCGTGGGAAGGCACATGGCACACAAAATCACAAGTTAAAGTTCTAACAGTTTTCCAAGCAGAGGGAACAGGGAGAGGACCCTCCAGCTCTATACCTTCAGGAAGGAACCCTCCCCATGAAGAAGATGAAAACTCTGCCCTCGGTCCCCAGAGACTCCTTAGATCTATTTTTATCCTTCACAGGGAGTCCCAAGTGTAAACTGTCAAAACAAGCAGGAAGAGTCACAAACACCGGAGGGGATCAAGGACAGCAGAAGGTGCACAGAATTCCACACATGCGAGAAAGGAGCACAGTGGCAGGAAGAGGGCAGGCCACTCTCCCTGGAGGTTAGCTCGCGGCCCCACAGGTAGAGAATGTACCGAGATGGAAAGCAATGCAGTAAGAGGCCAAAGAAGAGATGAATGGGCACACACATCTTCACCACGGTTGACACACGATTCTGAAAATGAATTCCAGCGCCACCTGAAGATCAGTTCTCCAAGCATCCCTTTCCACAGCCCACTTCCCTGACTGGTGCTGTGCAGCAGGAACTGAGTGTGTGATAGCAGCTATGAGACGGGGCAGGGTATCAGCGGGAAAAAATGAGGAGGGGAGGACTCAGACACGGAGAGCCCACCGAGGCAGAGGGCTTGGTGGGCACACGCTTCTGAGGTGCACGGTTCTTGTCCCCCCAGCACAAGCTCCTGGTCGACCACCTTCACCTCGGGCTCCCAACAGCAGGTGCTGTCGACATCTGCCGAATAAACCAAAGCCAAGTAACAGCCCAAGATGGGGCATCTGGGAAGACTTCACCAAGGAGACGCCACTGGGCTGGCGTCAGATGAACCGGCTGTGGCTCTGGCTGCCTGCTCAGCAGGGACAGAACCCCAAAGCCCTCCCCTGCATCTCAGACTCTGCCTCATCTCCCAGCCACCGCCATGCTGGCCAGCCTGTGCTGGGCCAAGCGATTCTCCCCACCTTCAAGGTTCCCCCATGCCTTCTCCATCCTGCACAGAGAAATTCAGCTTCTTCCTCATGAAAGCTATCCCCAGATACCACAGCCTGCATTTCCTCCCCTGATCACAGGCAACATGTGATCCCATCTGGCTGCTCATCAACCAGGGTTGTTTGGAACGGATTTCCCGCTGTATCTGTGTTAGTTTTGCATCTGCAATGGGGAGGCAAAACCCTCGGGAATGGGAAAGCCAATCCTTCTTTTTCATCCGGGAACAATGGATTGTCATAGCTGGAAGAGACCTCAGCTGTGCTGGGGGGAAATGACTCGTCCACGGCAGCTGCCAGCACAGCCCCTCAGCACTTCAACAACACATCCATCGGCCTGGCATCCTGACCAGAGTGAGTTCAGCAGGCAGAGGTTCCCGAGCCCAGGAATCGAGCACAGTGTCAGGTACAAAGTAGGCACCGAGTGTTTGCTGAATTGCTGATCACTCAGCACATGTTTAAAAATTCCCTTTTCAGAGCCACATCTCCATCAGTGAAAGGGAGACACAAAGAGATGAGTCATCGACTTCCTGTATGAGTAACTGGTATGAGTAACCAGGTCATAGCAACCAAAAGTTGCGGTGTTTCCAAGAGATGCCATGGGAGGTGAGCTTGTCATGATGTTGTAAGTAAGGCTTCTAAAGGACAGCGTTGGTCCTCCTAAAGAAATCCACCCCCTGGGGTTCACAATGTCACCGACTTTTCAGAAGAGGGTCCCAGAGCTGGGCTGTGTGACGCCTGTCCCCATGCGCCATCTCTTGGCAGCCCCCTCCCCC